GTGCCCCCGGTGCCGCCGGTGCTCGTGTTGGGGGGACCCGGCGCGACCCTCCCGGCTGCGGTGCCGGCGCTCGGCGGTTTTGAGGCGCTCGGCGTCGCCGTAGCCCCGTTCCTGGCTGGGGTCCCGCTCGGGGTCGCGGCTGACGCTGCGGGGACGGCGGCCCTCGGGGTCCCCGGGACGGGGTCCGCCGGGGTCGGGGTACCGGGGCTGGCGGCGCAGCTCCTCGGGACGGGGGTGGGCGAAGCGGGGGTCCAGCGGGGGCTCCCCCGGCCGCGTCTTGTTGGTGTTGTTGTTGCGGTTCTCCTGGGGGTCCACCACCAGCGGCCGGTCCAGGTGGGTCTTCATGTCGGGGCGCAGGTGGCGGGCGTAGGGCACCTTCCAGCGCTCCTCGGGGTCCAGCTCGCTGTAGAGGGCCTCCCGGCTGGCCAGCAGGTTCTGCTTCCGCAGCTCGCTCGTCCGCTGCTCCCACACCGACTTGGAGGATTTCTGGTTCTTCTGCTGCTCCTTCCTGCAGCGGGGACCCACAGCCCCCGTCGGGCCGGGACGGGGCCGGGATGGAGGTGGCATGGAGGTGGCATGGAGGTGGCATGGAGGTGGCATGGAGGTGGGATGGAGCCAGAGCAGAGATGGGATGGAGCCGGGATGGAGGCGGGATGGATCCAGGATGGAGGTGGGATGAAGACGGGATGGAGCCGGGATGAAGCCGGGATGGAGCCGAGGATGCAGCTCAGGATGGAGCCGAGATGAAGCCAAGGATGGAGCTGGGACAGAGATGGGATGGAGCCAGAGCAGAGATGGGATGGAGCCAGGATGGAGCAGGGATGGAGATGGGATGCAGACGGGATGGAGTCCAGAATGGAACTGGGATGGAGCTGGGACAGAGCCGAGATGGAGCCGGGATGGAGGCAGGATGGATCCAGGATGGAGGTGGGATGAAGACGGGATGGAGCCGGGATGAAGCCGGGATGGAGCCGAGGACGCAGCTCAGGATGGAGCCGAGATGAAGCCAAGGATGGAGCTGGGATGGAGCTGGGGACGGAGCCAGGGTGGAGATGGAATGGAGATGGGATGGAGCCCAGGATGGATCCAGGGATGGAGCTGAGGAGTGATCTGGGATGGATCTGGGATTCAGGTAGGATGGAGCCAAGGATGGAGCTGGGATGGAGCCAGGAACGGAGTCGAGGATGGAGCCGAGGATGGATCTGGGGATGGAGCCGAGGAAGGAGTCAGGATGGAGCCAGGAATGGGGCCAGGGTGGAGCTGGTGGTGAGGCTGGGGATGGAGCTGGGGATGGAGCTGGGGATGGAGCTGGGGATGGAGCTGGGGATGGATCCAGGGATTGAGCTGGGATGGGAGCCGGGGGTGGAGCTGGGATGGATCCAGGGATGGGTCAAGGAACGGATCCAGGGAAGGATCCAGGATGGAGTTGGGATGGAGACAGGGACAAATCCAAGGACGGAGCTGGGATGGAGCCGGGGATGGAACCGGGGATGGAGTCAGGAGGGAACTGGGGATGGAGCTGGGAGGGAGTTGGGATGGAGTCAGGGATGGAACCGGGGATGGAGCTGGGATGGAGCTGGGATGGAGCTGGGACGGAGCCGGGACGGAGCTGGGGATGGAGCCGGGATGGAGCTGGGGATGGAGCCGGGATGGAGTCAGGAGGGAGCTGGGACAGAGCTGGGATGGAGTTGGGGATGGAGCCGGGAGTTGGGATGGAGTCAGGGATGGAACCGGGGATGGAGCCGGGACGGAGCTGGGGATGGAGTCAGGGAGGGAGCTGGGGATGGAGACGGGATGGAGCTGGGAGGAAACCGGGGATGGAGCCGGGATGGAGCTGGGGATGGAGCCAGGGATGGAGCTGGGGATGGAGCCAGGGATGGAGCTGGGATGGAACCAGGGATGGAGCCGGGACGGAGCTGGGGCTGGAGCTGGGGCTGGAGCTGGGAGGGAGTTGGGAGGGAGTCAGGGATGGAACCAGGGATGGAGCTGGGAGGGAGCTGGGAGGGAGTCAGGGATGGAGCCGGGATGGAGCTGGGACGGAGCTGGGGATGGAGCCGGGGATGGAGCTGGGATGGAGTCAGGGATGGAACCAGGGATGGAGCTGGGATGGAGCTGGGGATGGAGCTGGGACGGAGCTGGGGATGGAGTCAGGAGGGAGCTCGGGATGGAGCTGGGATGGATCTGGGACGGAGCCGGTGACCCAGGCACTCACATGGTGACGGACATGTTGGCTGCCGAGAGCGGGCTCACTTCAGCCACCTCCTTCGCCTTCTGCAGAGCCAGCTTCTGGTTGGCGGCTTCTTCCTCCTCCTGCTCCACCAGCGGCCGGTCCAGGTGGGTCTTCATGTCGGGGCGCAGGTGGCGGGCGTAGGGCACCTTCCAGCGCTCCTCGGGGTCCAGCTCGCTGTAGAGGGCCTCCCGGCTGGCCAGCAGGTTCTGCTTCCGCAGCTCGCTCGTCCGCTGCTCCCACACCGACTTGGAGGATTTCTGGTTCTTCTGCTGCTCCTTCCTGCAGCGGGGACCCACAGCCCCCGTCGGGCCGGGACGGGGCCGGGATGGAGGTGGCATGGAGGTGGCATGGAGGTGGCATGGAGGTGGCATGGAGGTGGGATGGAGCCAGAGCAGAGATGGGATGGAGCCGGGATGGAGGCGGGATGGATCCAGGATGGAGGTGGGATGAAGACGGGATGGAGGTGGGATGAAGACGGGATGGAGGTGGGATGAAGACGGGATGGAGCCGGGATGAAGCCGGGATGGAGCCGAGGATGCAGCTCAGGATGGAGCCGAGATGAAGCCAAGGATGGAGCTGGGACAGAGATGGGATGGAGCCAGAGCAGAGATGGGATGGAGCCAGGATGGAGCAGGGATGGAGATGGGATGCAGACGGGATGGAGTCCAGAATGGAACTGGGATGGAGCTGGGACAGAGCCGAGATGGAGCCGGGATGGAGGCAGGATGGATCCAGGATGGAGGTGGGATGAAGACGGGATGGAGCCGGGATGAAGCCGGGATGGAGCCGAGGACGCAGCTCAGGATGGAGCCGAGATGAAGCCAAGGATGGAGCTGGGATGGAGCTGGGGACGGAGCCAGGGTGGAGATGGAATGGAGATGGGATGGAGCCCAGGATGGATCCAGGGATGGAGCTGAGGAGTGATCTGGGATGGATCTGGGATTCAGGTAGGATGGAGCCAAGGATGGAGCTGGGATGGAGCCAGGAACGGAGTCGAGGATGGAGCCGAGGATGGATCTGGGGATGGAGCCGAGGAAGGAGTCAGGATGGAGCCAGGAATGGGGCCAGGGTGGAGCTGGTGGTGAGGCTGGGGATGGAGCTGGGGATGGAGCTGGGGATGGAGCTGGGGATGGAGCTGGGGATGGATCCAGGGATTGAGCTGGGATGGGAGCCGGGGGTGGAGCTGGGATGGATCCAGGGATGGGTCAAGGAACGGATCCAGGGAAGGATCCAGGATGGAGTTGGGATGGAGACAGGGACAAATCCAAGGACGGAGCTGGGATGGAGCCGGGGATGGAACCGGGGATGGAGTCAGGAGGGAACTGGGGATGGAGCTGGGAGGGAGTTGGGATGGAGTCAGGGATGGAACCGGGGATGGAGCTGGGATGGAGCTGGGATGGAGCTGGGACGGAGCCGGGACGGAGCTGGGGATGGAGCCGGGATGGAGCTGGGGATGGAGCCGGGATGGAGTCAGGAGGGAGCTGGGACAGAGCTGGGATGGAGTTGGGGATGGAGCCGGGAGTTGGGATGGAGTCAGGGATGGAACCGGGGATGGAGCCGGGACGGAGCTGGGGATGTGCCCCCGGTGCCGCCGGTGCTCGTGTTGGGGGGACCCGGCGCGACCCTCCCGGCTGCGGTGCCGGCGCTCGGCGGTTTTGAGGCGCTCGGCGTCGCCGTAGCCCCGTTCCTGGCTGGGGTCCCGCTCGGGGTCGCGGCTGACGCTGCGGGGACGGCGGCCCTCGGGGTCCCCGGGACGGGGTCCGCCGGGGTCGGGGTACCGGGGCTGGCGGCGCAGCTCCTCGGGACGGGGGTGGGCGAAGCGGGGGTCCAGCGGGGGCTCCCCCGGCCGCGTCTTGTTGGTGTTGTTGTTGCGGTTCTCCTGGGGGTCCACCACCAGCGGCCGGTCCAGGTGGGTCTTCATGTCGGGGCGCAGGTGGCGGGCGTAGGGCACCTTCCAGCGCTCCTCGGGGTCCAGCTCGCTGTAGAGGGCCTCCCGGCTGGCCAGCAGGTTCTGCTTCCGCAGCTCGCTCGTCCGCTGCTCCCACACCGACTTGGAGGATTTCTGGTTCTTCTGCTGCTCCTTCCTGCAGCGGGGACCCACAGCCCCCGTCGGGCCGGGACGGGGCCGGGATGGAGGTGGCATGGAGGTGGCATGGAGGTGGCATGGAGGTGGCATGGAGGTGGGATGGAGCCAGAGCAGAGATGGGATGGAGCCGGGATGGAGGCGGGATGGATCCAGGATGGAGGTGGGATGAAGACGGGATGGAGGTGGGATGAAGACGGGATGGAGGTGGGATGAAGACGGGATGGAGCCGGGATGAAGCCGGGATGGAGCCGAGGATGCAGCTCAGGATGGAGCCGAGATGAAGCCAAGGATGGAGCTGGGACAGAGATGGGATGGAGCCAGAGCAGAGATGGGATGGAGCCAGGATGGAGCAGGGATGGAGATGGGATGCAGACGGGATGGAGTCCAGAATGGAACTGGGATGGAGCTGGGACAGAGCCGAGATGGAGCCGGGATGGAGGCAGGATGGATCCAGGATGGAGGTGGGATGAAGACGGGATGGAGCCGGGATGAAGCCGGGATGGAGCCGAGGACGCAGCTCAGGATGGAGCCGAGATGAAGCCAAGGATGGAGCTGGGATGGAGCTGGGGACGGAGCCAGGGTGGAGATGGAATGGAGATGGGATGGAGCCCAGGATGGATCCAGGGATGGAGCTGAGGAGTGATCTGGGATGGATCTGGGATTCAGGTAGGATGGAGCCAAGGATGGAGCTGGGATGGAGCCAGGAACGGAGTCGAGGATGGAGCCGAGGATGGATCTGGGGATGGAGCCGAGGAAGGAGTCAGGATGGAGCCAGGAATGGGGCCAGGGTGGAGCTGGTGGTGAGGCTGGGGATGGAGCTGGGGATGGAGCTGGGGATGGAGCTGGGGATGGAGCTGGGGATGGATCCAGGGATTGAGCTGGGATGGGAGCCGGGGGTGGAGCTGGGATGGATCCAGGGATGGGTCAAGGAACGGATCCAGGGAAGGATCCAGGATGGAGTTGGGATGGAGACAGGGACAAATCCAAGGACGGAGCTGGGATGGAGCCGGGGATGGAACCGGGGATGGAGTCAGGAGGGAACTGGGGATGGAGCTGGGAGGGAGTTGGGATGGAGTCAGGGATGGAACCGGGGATGGAGCTGGGATGGAGCTGGGATGGAGCTGGGACGGAGCCGGGACGGAGCTGGGGATGGAGCCGGGATGGAGCTGGGGATGGAGCCGGGATGGAGTCAGGAGGGAGCTGGGACAGAGCTGGGATGGAGTTGGGGATGGAGCCGGGAGTTGGGATGGAGTCAGGGATGGAACCGGGGATGGAGCCGGGACGGAGCTGGGGATGGAGTCAGGGAGGGAGCTGGGGATGGAGACGGGATGGAGCTGGGAGGAAACCGGGGATGGAGCCGGGATGGAGCTGGGGATGGAGCCAGGGATGGAGCTGGGGATGGAGCCAGGGATGGAGCTGGGATGGAACCAGGGATGGAGCCGGGACGGAGCTGGGGCTGGAGCTGGGGCTGGAGCTGGGAGGGAGTTGGGAGGGAGTCAGGGATGGAACCAGGGATGGAGCTGGGAGGGAGCTGGGAGGGAGTCAGGGATGGAGCCGGGATGGAGCTGGGACGGAGCTGGGGATGGAGCCGGGGATGGAGCTGGGATGGAGTCAGGGATGGAACCAGGGATGGAGCTGGGATGGAGCTGGGGATGGAGCTGGGACGGAGCTGGGGATGGAGTCAGGAGGGAGCTCGGGATGGAGCTGGGATGGATCTGGGACGGAGCCGGTGACCCAGGCACTCACATGGTGACGGACATGTTGGCTGCCGAGAGCGGGCTCACTTCAGCCACCTCCTTCGCCTTCTGCAGAGCCAGCTTCTGGTTGGCGGCTTCTTCCTCCTCCTGCTCGTCCTGCAAAGCCCCACGCCGTGTCCAGCCCAGCCCCGAGGCCACGGGCGATGGGCTGAGGGGGGGGAATGTGGGGTGGTGGGGGGTGGGCACCGCTCCTCACCTTGGTGAGCTCCTGCGCGTTGGCCAGGTTGTCCACCGCGATGGCCAAGAAGACGTTGAGGAGGGTGTCTGGGCGTCCCGTCAAGGCAAAACGAGTCCCAGAACAGCCCCCCCGACCCCCAGCCCGGGACCCCTCCCTCCTCCCGAGACCCCCCCAAGCCCCCCCCGAGGGTACAGTTGCCGAAGAGGGTGAGGACGATGAAGTAGACGGAGAAAACCATCCCCCCCTTGACGCCGCCCTGAGATTTGATCCCGTCGTACATCACCGCGTTCCAGTCTTCGCCCGTCAGGATCTACGGGGAGGGGGGGAAAGGAAAGGAGCCATGAGGGCAGCGGGGACCCCTCCCCCCCAACCTTGGCACCCCAATTCCTCAGGAGCTGGGGATGGAGCCAGGGATGGAGCTGGGATGGAACCAGGGATGGAGCCGGGACGGAGCTGGGGCTGGAGCTGGGGCTGGAGCTGGGAGGGAGTTGGGAGGGAGTCAGGGATGGAACCAGGGATGGAGCTGGGAGGGAGCTGGGAGGGAGTCAGGGATGGAGCCGGGATGGAGCTGGGACGGAGCTGGGGATGGAGCCGGGGATGGAGCTGGGATGGAGTCAGGGATGGAACCAGGGATGGAGCTGGGATGGAGCTGGGGATGGAGCTGGGACGGAGCTGGGGATGGAGTCAGGAGGGAGCTCGGGATGGAGCTGGGATGGATCTGGGACGGAGCCGGTGACCCAGGCACTCACATGGTGACGGACATGTTGGCTGCCGAGAGCGGGCTCACTTCAGCCACCTCCTTCGCCTTCTGCAGAGCCAGCTTCTGGTTGGCGGCTTCTTCCTCCTCCTGCTCGTCCTGCAAAGCCCCACGCCGTGTCCAGCCCAGCCCCGAGGCCACGGGCGATGGGCTGAGGGGGGGGAATGTGGGGTGGTGGGGGGTGGGCACCGCTCCTCACCTTGGTGAGCTCCTGCGCGTTGGCCAGGTTGTCCACCGCGATGGCCAAGAAGACGTTGAGGAGGGTGTCTGGGCGTCCCGTCAAGTCAGGGATGGAACCAGGGATGGAGCTGGGATGGAGCTGGGGATGGAGCTGGGACGGAGCTGGGGATGGAGTCAGGAGGGAGCTCGGGATGGAGCTGGGATGGATCTGGGACGGAGCCGGTGACCCAGGCACTCACATGGTGACGGACATGTTGGCTGCCGAGAGCGGGCTCACTTCAGCCACCTCCTTCGCCTTCTGCAGAGCCAGCTTCTGGTTGGCGGCTTCTTCCTCCTCCTGCTCGTCCTGCAAAGCCCCACGCCGTGTCCAGCCCAGCCCCGAGGCCACGGGCGATGGGCTGAGGGGGGGGAATGTGGGGTGGTGGGGGGTGGGCACCGCTCCTCACCTTGGTGAGCTCCTGCGCGGGCACAGAGCCACCCCAAAGGCTGGGGGGAGGGGGGGTGTCCCGTCCCCCACCCGGTTACTCACTGTCCCCCGAAGAGCTGCATCCCCAAAAGGGCAAAGACGACGATAAAGAGGAAGAGGAGGAAGAGGAGGCTGATGATGGACTTCATGGAGTTCAGGAGGGAGACCACCAGGTTCCGCAGGGAAGCCCAGTACCTGCCGGGGCAGAACCAGGCTGCGGGGACGTGGGGGGACACGGGGGGACATGGGGGGGACGTGGGGCAGCACGGGGGGGACACGGGGGACAGGCCGTGCCACGCGGCCTCCCCCGTGTCCCCCCGTGTCACCACCACCCCCGTGAGCACGCGTG